TGTCGTCCCATTAAGTTGATCCAAGAGACAAATTGGAGGAACATTTTTCTTAGTAAATTAACCAACACGAAGCCACCTTCTGGAAGCCTCCTCCCTGACACTGACACGGCTCGCTCAGGGCTGGACTCTCCTGCTGTTCTTGGGACACCTGTGCCTGGTTTAAGCAATGCAGTGCCTTGAACTGTGTTTGAAGCACAGTAGGTGCTCAATAAATATTTGTTAAAAGAATGAAAGTCAAAAGAAGTCTCTGAAAAAATGATTTTTATGTAAAATTACCAGCCCAGGGAACTCTTGATTCTACAGAAATGGCAGTGCAGACATTACAGAAGAACTAGAAACATCTGACTGTAAGGAGCTAAGCACATGCAGGGCTGCGGGTCTGAAACAGGCGTGTGCAGAGGCAACAGACGCCCAGTGCAGAGGGGACAGCGGGGCACCGGCGAACCCCCACCTCGGGAGATGATGAACCCGGGCTGGCTCCCAGCTCTACCTGGACTCAGGGGCCGGGGCACAGGGTGCACCTCAGGAGAACCTCCTGACTTCACATTGTCTGCTTCTCATCTGTAAAGGGGTATAATAATCATTACCTCACAAGATTTAGACTTAAAAATATGTGAGGTAGCTTTTCAAATGTGTGTGCTACTATAGGTGTGAGGGGCACAGTAAGTCCTGGCACCCAGGGAGCCTGAACATATCTGAGTTGTGGCTGTGAGAGCTTCACGTGCAACACTGGGGGTCCTCTCTTACTTCTGGAGTAGTGCCAATCTGACTCCAACTTTTAAATCAAATATTTATTTTGAATTCCCAACATCTATGTTTCCTTTGCCAGAAGCCAGATGGCTGGGTGGTTTAAGGTCCAGGAACGAGTGCCTGGTGTCTGGGGCCTGGTCCTCAGATTCAAGGTCCTGGGCAGCTCATTCTGCTAGCCCCTCAATTCTGCACAGTTTGACAAATACCCTTCATCAAATACAATCCTATTTCCCCCTCTGGGACACACTCTGACCTGCATCACTGCCTAAAACACCCAGACCCAAGTCCTCCCCATCGTAGCATTCAGAACACATTTCAAGCCCCTCTTTCTGGAAGCCTTCCTTGGCCTCCAGGGCAGCTACCTTCCAAATCCTGACAGGGTTCTCACTGCTCAATAAATAGGCAGAGTCAGCTGGAAAAGAGGCCTGAGTCCTCCAGGTATTGGTCCTACTGCCCTAAATTGTCAGACTCTGCAGCACAAAGACCACATCCCTCTTTCTTAGACTCTTTCCCTAGACAAAGAAGCACTTCCTAGGTGACTTTTGAAAATGCAGAGTGAAAAGATATACATTTTTGCCTTGCCAGTAGAGGGCGCTGGAAGGACACTGCAGGAGGAAGGGGCTGGCCTTGGCGGGAGGGAGGTCTTGATTTATTCTCAGTGCCCAGCCCCTCCAGGTTTCTCCAAGACAAGGTGCCTGGAGGGCACAGTTTTCTATAGGACCAGTACCACAGCATGCCATCTTCAGCTCTGGGCTCAGGGTAACCAGAGGCCCTGACAGTGGTGGCAAGAGTCTAAACCTGAACCCAGGCGGCAGCTCTCACCACCCTCTGCTGGGCCCTGTGCAGGGAGTGCAGGCCTGGGCTCCCCGAAAGGCTAGCTGTCCTGTGCACCGCCACCACCTGGCCCTTGTCCACTGCAGCAGCCAGAGGTACAGCAGAAGGTGGCACCCTGGGCACCCACTCCAGCACTGCCAGTGGCCTGCAGCTGCCCATCATCTTGCAAGCACCCTGGCCCAGCACTTCCCAAGGAGGGCACCCTACCCAGGGGCCAATTTCTGTCTGGTGCAGCCCCTTGGAAGCTTTTCTGCTATCATGTGAGTGATGGCCGTGAACTCAGCCATGAGAACAAGACTCAGCCTTGGGGCCTCTTCTCTGGGCTACCTCAGCCTCAGGGCCAGGGGCTGCTCCTTATATCAGCAACTACTTTGTACTCTTGCAAGTCTTCACTTCTTACTTCAGATCTAGGGCTATGCCACAATCCCCCGCTGGAATTCTTTGCACCAAAGCTTCCCAGACTGAATCATGCATAATATCTGCCTCTTCACTGGACCCTAATGAATACACCCCACCCTGCATTAATGTAAGGTCTTCTCTTACTGTTCACTTACATTTTGCAAATTGCTTCTAAGTTAAGTTTTCCTAGGGGCCATCACTTCCAATTACCCTTCATCAACCTGGTACAATATCACTTTGTATTTGACAGAAATCAGTTCTTCACCTGAGACATTAGCTGACTCCATTCTACAAAACCCCTCTGAAACAGAGAGGACTGAAATGTTCTAGACACTGTAGCGTTACAGTCAGAACCCTGCTTTTCTAACCATCAATCTTTTAAAAGCCAGAGACTTCCTATCTTTATTTTCCATGGGGCAGTTCCTGTATTTCAGAATAATAACATACGGGGAATTCAGGTACCAGAAATATCTGGATATTTAGAGAAAGAGGGAAAAAAAGGAAAATAGAAAGTGAACAAATATCCTAGTAATGGAGCCTAGAATGTGCATGCACACTGAAGAATTTGGATGCTGATAAACTCTTTTAAAAAATGCGAATTATTTTGGTTGTTAATTTTGCCTGTTTTTACTAAATTATGGCTCGATTCCATTTATGTCTTCAGGCATTCATGGGCCCCAAGGGAGGGCGATACAGGATGTGTCTGTCTGCAGCCATCCTTGAACTTTAAACAGCCAACTTACAAAGAACTGGTTTATATAAAGCACCATTGATCTATGAAGTGTTCCAGTTGCTCTTTGAGAAAAAAGTGGGCAGAGGAGGCTTCAATAGTACTGCATCACGACTTGAATAAAGTCAGAAGATCAAAATAAGGAAGTTGTTCTTGAGAGTTGACCAAGGAGATACACCTACGTGGCTTTCCCCCACCCCCCTCCACAAACATGTACACTCTGCTCTTCAGTTTCCAAATCCCACCCTGTGTGCTACATTGTCTGAACTTTCACCCATTAGATACTCTTTTGTTAGGATCACCCTCTGTGCACACTGGCTGCTTCTCCAGGAGGAGAATGTCCCAGCCTCTACAGCCACTGCCTCCTTCTGACCCTGTGCATGCTGAGATCACAGAGCTAGGGGGGCCACCCAGCCCCCTTACTGATTTCAGGGTCAGTCCACATGCCCACGTGTGCTCTGGAGAAGAGCTAGGAACTTCGAGTTTGGGAATGCTAGGGCAGGCTGGGCGGGGAGGCCTGGCACGGGGGCTACACTAGGAAAACACACAGGCATGTGGGCCTTGGGGTGAGCAGCTGGCACTGGAAGGCGGACCCACATTTATTGCCAAACCCTGGAGTACAATCAACACAGAAACTGGACACTTCCAGCACTGGACTTCGAGGGATGCCTAACAAACCCTTCCACCAGCTCTGATCTGGGATGAGGGCACCCCATTTAAAAAAATTAATTACTGTTTTTAATTTTTATATATGCTTTGCCTTATTCCAAGATTTGGGGCATCTCACAAAAAAACACTTGGCACAAAAGAAAACTAAAATAAAGTGAGTAGTGACTGTAGTTCACACTATCATACTGTATATTTGAAAGTTGCTAAGAGAATGGACCTTAAAGTTGTCATAAGAAAAAAAATTGTAACTATGTATTGGTGATGGACGTTAACTAGATCTATGAGATGATCATTTTGCAATATAAACAAATCATTTCTTTATATACGTGAAGCTAATATAATGTTGTATGTCAATTACATCTCAATTAGAAAAGAAAAGAAAATGAAGAAATCATGGTAGAAATAAGTGAGGGCTAAAGAATAAGCCAAGTGGTGGTGATGACGTCCAGGCATACTGCAGGAGGTGGATGGGTGTCAGGCTCAGAAATGCCCACCAGCCAGGACAGGTGGGGAGCCCTGGTGAGCAGAACTGGATCTGGCCTCTTAGATGCATATCCAGGCACCTTGAGCTGCCGTGGTGACCAAGGGTGAACTGCAGGGACACTCAGGAGCAGGAAGCAGCAATGCCAGCCCCCAAACAATCCTGCCAATTAAACACCACGCCCCAAATGCCAACGGTGCCTGTGATGAGATCCACAAGCTACAAAACAAGCCAACTGCTCCAGCCTGCCTGGTCCTGATCCTAAGGCCTGGTTCTCCTATAGGAACTCATGGAGAGGGCTCATGGACATGGAAGAAAACCCCTACTGTGTGACACTGACGGACAGACGCCAATGGCAGAGGAAGACTCCCCAGAGGCATCCTTCTGACACACAGCAGCTCATTTCTTTGGGCACTTCTTAAAGCTGCCTTCAGTATAGGCTGATGGCAAGACTCCCAGGCAGCTTAGGACAGAGCAGGTTAGGATAACATGGCTCAGGTGAGCCAGTTTTCTTCCCAGACACTTTCTGATCCCTGATGATTCATGCTACTTTACTTTCACCTGACGTTTGCACCCTGCATCCTCTGCACAGACCTGGAGTGTGGGGTGTGGGCAGAAGGTCAGAAACCCTTCAGAGGGTTTGAATTTTCTGGCCACAAGGCTGTTAGTGAGAGCAGACAGTCAGGCCCCACTTCCGTTCCTACTTCTCCCTCCCCACAGGCTGTGCTGCTGAGCTGTGGCTGATACCGCTGGGCAGAACTCAGTTACAGAAGACCTGAGGGCACCGGAAACAGGCTGACATTTCTGCTGTGTTGCCAGTTAGTGACCTAGAGCGACAGTTGGCTGGTCATAAATGCTCATGTAACTTGAAGGGACTTCTACATACTGTTTTGAGAAAGTCAGAAGCATAGGGTAGAAATCAGTCATAAAAACTTGGTCCTGTTCTGCATAGCCACAGGCTGGTCATAAGCTTGGGTCCTCTCAGACCCTCAGTCCCTCAGCAGTCTACTAGGAAAAGCAGCCTTGGCCTGATGGAGGGGTGAATGCAGGTGCCCTGGTGCCCAGAGGGCCAGCATGCAAGCAAGGGTCTGTGCAGACATGGTGCCCAGGATGCCCCAGAGGCACCGGGTTACTTACAAGCTCTGAGAAGCCGCGGACCACCTGCCGTCGCTTCAGGTTGGTCTCTCCATCCAAGTTGGCAGTCTCGATGTGGCACAGACCATCGGGGTCACTGGAAGACAGCAGCAGAATGTCTGCAGGGATGATTTCATTGCAGCGAAGATGCACAAAGTCTCCCACATGGATTTCTTTCCAGAATCGGTTCACGAATTGCTTCTCTTCCCTGGTAAAGAGAAGTGTCATTATTGAGACTGGGAGGAGGTTGATCGTGGCTGAATCTGGGTGATGGGCACATGGACTCATGTAACAACTGTTTTTACTTTCCAGTATATTGAAAATTTCCATAATAAAAAGTTTTAAAAAGAACATTCATGAAGGCCATATATAGTATGAGTCCATTTGTATGAAATATCCAATAGGCAAACTATACAAATAGGCAAATCCATGGAGATAAAAGGCAGATTAGTTATTGCTAGGGGCGGGAGCAGGGGGGAAATGGGGAGAGACTGTTCGCTGGGTACAGGTTTCCAGTTAGTAGGGATGGTCGCACAACACTGAGGATGCACTAAATGCCACTGAATGTACCCTTTAAAGTGGCTAAAAGGTCCACTCCTAGGTGTATACCCCAAAGAATTAAGGGCAGGGACTCAGACACTTGTACACCCATGTTCATAGCAGCATTACTCACAACAGTTAAAATGTGGAGGCTACCCAAGTGTCCATCAATAGATGAATGGACAAAGGTGGTATAACCACACAAGGGAATATTATTCAGCCATGAAAAGGAAGGAAATTCTGACAAATCTTACAACATGGTGAACCTTGAGGACATTATGCTGAGTGAATATAAGCCAGTCACAAAGGAATAAATACTACAGGACTCCACTTTTATGAGGGACCTATAATAGGCATATTCACAGAGACAGAAAGCAGAACCTCTCCACATCTCACTGTCCTCATCTGCAGAATGGAGACAAAGATGATGCATCTTCTCTGCATCATTGAAGATAAAGCAGGTAACACATGCTGGTCACTCAGAACAACGGCCAACACAGCTTCCAACAGCACCTGGTAGTTACTCTTACTAGCATTTAGATGAAAACATTATGTGTAGATTTCTCATTTAGATGTTTATTTTTTTTACTCTGGAAAAATAGGTCAATTAATCCTACAATGACATTTTTAAGAGTTCCTTGGAGGTAGCTTTGCTCATTTTTTTAAGTAGAGGAACATGACTTTTTCTCAACACGATATGCAATATGAGGAAACCTCCTCAAGAAATCTGGGTGATTCTGTTGAAGGAAAAAGAGCACTGGAACACATTTAACTTCAGTCATTACCTCCTTACTGGTTCCTGCCCTATAAAGCACCACCCCTGCCTGAGATCCCAGAGAGCCCAAACTCAGGCAATAAGTCCGGACCTCAGCGTAGACTGAGTTAACCACATCTATCTAAACCCCAAGCTTTGCAGGAGAAGTACTGAGAGTGGCGCTCATCCACTTCGATCCACCGTGTGGACCTGCAGGAACCCATGGCAAACCTCAGGGGCTCCTTGCCATCAGCTACTCCAGACGCAGAAGAGAAAAGTATCCCCTCCCATTTTTAGCCTCTATTTTCTTGTATTCCTCTGACTGCAGATCCACCAAACCGATTATGTGCAAAGCATAGTTTGGTCACTATAGGACCAACAAAGATGAATTAGATACAGCTTTGTCCTCAAAAATAAATCCAAGGCAAGAGCAAACCATTAGAGAGTGTCCCTCAGGGGGCTTAGAATCAAGCCCCCAATGTGAACACAAAGGTATCCTTCCTGGGCCAACCCAACTCTCCCTACAAGGCCAGGGTGCCCATCAAGGCTGCTTCTCCAGGTGTGACAAGGTCCCATCTGGCCCCAGCCCAAGGTCAGGCTGACTGTGAGCACAGAAGCAGCGCTCAGTCACTGGCCACGTTGCTCACTCTCTGCCACAGCCTGTCCTCTTCCCCGTGGACAGAGAGCCTTGACATCTGATAGATGCAACAACATTAAACCATGTCCTTATTTCCTTGTCTAAAGGTCAAACCTTGACTTTAGATTGCTGTAAGCGTTAGCTCATTAGTCTTTCTTCCTTATCATGGCCATATGTTGGGTTCCCATGGAAAGTAAAAGGCATTCTCTTCCAGAAGAGAGTTTCTGAATAGTAAGTCATCATTTAGTCACAGAGGAGGGCGGCGTACGTGCTGACAGTGAGCTGGAGAGGCTCTGCAGGAGGGGAACTGTCAGGGGACCGGCGGTCCCAGCCTGGCCCTCGGGCGGGCAGAGGGCAGAGGTGACAGCAAAGTGTATGTGGGGGGTGGGGGGCTGTGTACAGCTCAGCCTAACTGCATTCCATTTACAGCATGCATCAAACACAAAGTCAGTTTCCATCTGCCCTAGAATCTTAAAACATTAGTGTGTCTGCCCCATTGTAGCCTGTTTTTGAAACAGCAACTTTGGTGGAGGCATTTGAGCCCAAGTGAGATCCCACCCCCAGGCCCAACAAAGCCCCCAGGCTCCTAGAAACAGCGGGTTGAGTACTGGGTAAGCCCTGGTGGAAGACCCAGGTGAGCCACAGACAGCAAAGACAGCAGGAAGCAGGGAGCCCGGGACCTTGAGGAGCACTGGCTTCTGTGCAAAGGCCTGCAGGGCACAGGAAATCCTGTGGTGGGTTGGGCTGAGCCCCTTCACCACCTCAACAGGCCAAAGGCTCCCCAGCAGAGCCCCTGGTCCCGTCGACTGTCCAGCCAGAGCCCCAAGCCCCAAGTCTGCACCCCACCACCGCTGCAATGTCCCTGCCTGCTTTTCTCTTATTTATCTGTATTATATATATATATGTGTGTGTAATATAGCATATATGTTTTTGTATGTGCTACATTGTACACATTGTTATATACTATATTACATAGGTGTGTTTACATAATACATACATTTCATGTAACACACATATTATATATAAGTAGCCCTCCTTTTCATGGGAAGGGTAAATTTTTTTCCCAGAAACTGGACATAGGGTCTTTATAGAGGCAATAAAGATAAAGTAAGGTCATAGGGTGGGTCCTAATCCAACATGACTGGTGTCCTTACAAGAGGAGGAGATACCGGAGACGCCGCAGGCACAGGAAGACCACCATGTGAGGCCCTGGCGAGAGGAGACCGTCCGCAGGCCAAGGAGAGAGGCCTCAAGAGACCGTCCTGCCAACATGCTGATCCCGGGCATCCAGCGCCAGGACCCTGACGCGATGCAGGGCTGCGGCTCCAGCTGCCCAGCCCGTAGCTGTGCTATGGCAGCCGGACCCCTAGTAAACCCGGTTCCCACGACGTCCGCGGGGAGGAGCAGCTCCCAGGCTGCAGGCACAGATAGGGAGACGCAGCAGAGTCGGCGGGTGGTGGTGGGGCCTCCGCCAGGCAATGTATCCACAAGCGTGTGTCCCACGCTTCCCCCACATCTGTGCACAGGAAAGGCGCTGCACCGAACACAGAAATAAATCCTTCTGACACATGCCATAGCACTGGCCTCTGAACAGCCTCTTCTTCAGACTTCTATGAGCAGCAGGTAAACAATCTGGGGCTGCCTTCTATTTCCTCAGGCCACTGGGGTGCAGTTGCGAGGGGACAGGGTGTGGGGCCTGGACCAGGGTGTGAGGACCATGGGAAAAGGCTCAGGACCGTACAGTGCTCCACTGCTTCCCTGCAGGCCCCCAGCCCCAAGCAGGCAGGTGCCTGCCCTCCTCCTCCAGGAACCTCCTCCAGGAGCCACAGGGTTCTCCTGACACACGTGGGGTGTAGTTTCCAAAGTGGAAAGATTTAAAATCACCCCAGTCCTCAAGACCCTGGATTTGTTTATAGCAATTTTAGGAAGTGGCACTGTTTAGTTTGCCCACATACTAATCCTTCCAAGGACGGGTGCCACCCCATGTGGCAGCAGGACACTGGATGACCCCGAGAACCCCCAGCCCAGCCCTCGTGCACACATCCGTCAGTCCCTGAGTGAGGCCAGGGCAGTGATCGCGCTGGGAGTTACTCCTGCAGACACGACCAGAGTGCCAGGTCCGTGGACTATGAGCCAAGCCGCAGGCGACCAGTGGGTGGGCCTGATTGTCTCAGAAGCCCTATGAACGTGGACTTAAGGCCAGAAACTTAGGCACCGCAAGTGTCTGAGAGCCACAGAGGGGACACATACCTGCAGCTGAGAGGGGCCCCTGCCATCAGCCAGCAAAGGTACGTGGTCTCAGTCTCATTACCTCTGGAGCTGAATTACACCACCAACCTCAGCAAGCCTGGAAGAGGCCCCAAGCCTGGACAGACTGCGGCCCTGCCCGCACCTCAGCCCCAGGTGTGCTCAAGCCTGCGGAGACACTGGGCAGAGAACCAGCCAACTGTGCCTGGGCTCCCGACCCCTGGAGACTGATGTAACACATCTGCATGTCTTCAAATTAATTTTTTAAACTGAAGTATATTGACATACACTATCCTATTAGTCTCAGGTGTATATCATGGTGATTCAATATTTTAATATATTACAAAATGATTCCCATGGCAAGTCTAGTGACCATATGTCACCATAAAAAGGTGTTTAAATATTAACGATATTCCCCATGCTGTGTACACTGCATTTCCAAGACTGACTTATTTATGATTCAAAGTTTGTTCCTCTTAATTCCCCTTCATGTATCTCCGCTGCCCCCACCAGTTACGCCTCTCTGGTAACCAACAGTTTGTTTCCTGTGTCTATGACTCTGTTTCTGTTTTGTTTGTTCATTTGTTTCGGTTTTTAGATTCCACACGTAAGTGAGATCATATGGTATTTGTCTTTCACTTATTTCACTTGGAATAATGCCCTCAAGGTCCACACCCATGTCCCAATGTGTTGTTTTTAGCTGCTGAGTTTGTAGTGTTATGTTCCACAGCAACAGAAAATTGGTATGTGCCGTTTCCCTTTTCTGCACAGAAGCAGAGCTAGATGCCTCTCCCTGGCAGGTTGGCCTTCTACGGTGTATAACAGACTACAATTTCTGTGGGCACTGAGTTTCAAAATGTGTTTATCTGAGGAAAAAACACTTCACATGAACAGAATGCAGAGCAAGACTGGTTAAAATCCAAACATGTTTCTCCATCTCCTTCAGAGGGTATGAATAACGTATTAAAAATGTGGGGAAACTCTGCAAATGTGCAGTCTTGAAATGGAGGCTGTGTCCCTAAATACTACA